GCTGCAGCTGATGCACTTGCGGGTGAGGGTGCCGCGGTTGCGCGCCTCCCAGAGTCGGTTCGATCCCAGATACTGGAGAAGGAGCGTGTGCCGTACCTCATCCGCATGCGGATACTGCAGTCTCACATCGGCGCGATGGAGGCCGAACAACAGCCGCAGCCGAACTACCAGCAGGGAGGTCGGCACCCGAGGCGAAGAGCTCGGGGATCCAACGGTAATGAGGGAAGCGGTGAGCCTGCTGTTGCTGGCGCCCCCCCCTCCTCCCCCCTCCCAAGGTTGGGCACTATATCGGCCTTTGAGACGGCCCATGCCCTTGCCGAGTGTGGTCGGCGCCGTCTGCGGTGCCGTGGGTCCGCGTCGGCTGCTAGCTTGCAGGCATGGCGTACGTCTCCGTGTTTTAAGTTCGTTGCTTTAGATAGCTCCCTTCGTGCACTTCCTGAGGGGACGACCATTCAAATTACTGGGGGGTTTGTGACCCCTCCCATTGTATGAAATTCCATTTCGAATTAAATATTCGGTTTTGCGCGAGTCGTGGGATGTACGGGGACAAGCAACTCCTCGGCCTTGGGCAGGTTTGCGTCCCCCGACCCATACCCACGAGGCGGGAATATCTCCATCTGATCGGTGTTGGGCGATGGCCCAAGGTCTATAGTAAAGCTGACTTAGCTCGTAAAGCCCAGAAGAGGTCTTCATGAGGGTTGGAAGGACTACGTCCAAGGACTCCAACTCCAACTCCAACTCCAACTTGTCCTCCTCCTCCTCCTCCTCCTCCTCCTCCTCCTCCTCCTCTTCCCCCTCCTCCCCCTCCTCCTCCTCCTCCTTCGTAGAACGGGGGGTGCTCGACTCGAGCCGTATTCCCAGACCCATCTTTGGGTGCACAGGTCCTTCAGTTGTAACAGGATTGCTCGATTCGAGCCAGAACCCCAGGCTCATTTCCCGTCTCGAGGGCAGGATCTGGCAAGCCCCGTCTCCAGGGCAGGTTCGGCGTCGCGGCCTCGGTGTGTCGGGGGGGGGGGGGATGGGGATTCTTGACCCAGGCATGCTGCCCCCGGCACCACACAGAGGAGGAGGAGGAGGCGGAGCAGGAGGAGGACGACGAGGACGAGGACGAGGACGAGGAGGAGGTGGAGGAGGAGGAGGAGGAGGACGACGAGGAGGAGGTGGAGGAGGAGGAGAATGATGAGGAGGACGAGGAGGAGGAGGAGGAGGAGGAGGAGGAGGAGGAGGAGGAGGTATGGAGACCAGGTACGGCCCTGCGTTTGCAGTCCTCAATCGGTGCCCTTTTCTCGGGGGGGAGGCCTGCACCTATGGTCAGCTCGGCGCCCCCGTCGGCACCGCGGAGCTGCAAACTGGAGGGCCAGGCGTACCCCGCTGAGCATCTGTGGCTCGCGTACGCAGGGGCTCCCGGAGTTGTGTCGCACGCGTGTCCCCTACTCGTCTCATGCGTATATCTGCTCAGTTTTCTCGAGCGTGAGGTCTGCCTCGGTTCTGAACCTCGTTTCTGCCGCGTGGCTGTTAGACCTTGGGAGCGGGGCTGCCCTGGACTGGAGCGGGGTCATAGCTGGGTACGTCCACTATCCGAATTAGGCCCCCATCGAGGGACCCAGGACACGACCGTTCAAGTTGCCACGGGGCTCCTCAACACCGATCGGCCGGTGGGGAGGACAAGCCGTGCCCCCCCCCCGGGAACGCCATTTTTGGCTTGAATTCGGTTTCGTGCATTCTGTCAGCACCAATGTGGAAACAACATGGGACTCACATTTACTCACAGTGCTGTTACACATCATGCTTGGGTCCGTCATTCGTCGTCCCCTCGTGATGGGACGTCTGCCCCACATGCGTTGACCCCCCCGATCACGGTGCTACGAGGCAGAGGTGGCTGCCACAGGATATTCGCTACACGCACATCACCCACCATTACCAGGTGCCAGCATCAAGCGCCTATTTCAATGGTGGGAGAGACCAAGTGCTCCATCCGATTCAAAAGGGTTATGCCTACCCTTAAGGGCATCAGCACAACACTGCAATCCTCCTCCTCCTTCTCCTCCTCCTCCTCCTCCCACCTTGCAGTAGGGGCCCGACCACCAGAAATCCTCTACAAGAAACACAGCTCTGAGACCCCAGGACGTCCACTGATTTCTGGTGGGAACGTCACGCTGGCAGAGTTATCGACATCCAAAAAACCCAGGGCACCCTGGAGGCAAGCCGGGTGTTTCTTGGCATGGGTCTCCACTGTAAGAGGGCGGGCGGAGGCGGGGTCTGGGAAGCTGTGAGAAGTGCGAGTGGGAGGGAGGACCCAGAGATCCGACGCTCTAACAAAAATTGGAGCGGCGGGATTTGTGCCGTTTTGAGCATCTGGGGGCCCTCGCCAGGCGTCGGGACTGTCAGAAAAACGACTCAGGACGTAAAACCGGCCCTAGGGAAGTGGCCCCGACTGTTGGGGCCCGCGCCTCGAATACATTGGAGCAGCCGGATGTCTGAGGCAGCTGAAGATCCAGAGCATCCGCGAATAGTTCGGACCTCCTGGAGCGCGCCAGAATGCAGATGTCACGCCTATTCTTAAGCCGGGCCTGTCCCCCTACAGGGGGATTTTGGACGACAAATAAAACATGTTCAAACAATGCCCCAAAGATGCCCCAAAATACAAAAAAAAAAAAAAAAATCCCCGGACTGTTTCTGAATCATCCCCCTGTGGAGGGGCAGGCCCGACTTAAGCCCCTTCCGCGCGGGCCGGGCTCGGTGTCACCGCGGTCCGGGGTTACGTTAGGTGATGGTCCACGGGGGGGGTTGTACCCACGCCCCGCGCCCCACTCGATTCCGTCGGGGATCTTCTGACCCGGGTCAATCCAGACCCGGGTCAGCAGGAAACCAAAAACTGCAATGCAGGAAGAACAAACTGCAGCGCAGGTCCTCGCAAACCCGGGTCAGCCAATAGGCGCGGCCGCCCCGCGGCCACGAGCGGCTCCCTGACCCGGGTCAGCCAGAGGGGGTCTTCGCAGGATCCTGCAGGATCCGGCGCCCTGGCTGACCCCCGTCTGCATTGACCCCCGTCTCGAAGCTCCCGACTCCGCCCCAAAACCGGATCTCCGGAGTCCCGCGGGGCCCGCACTTCGGGGCCTCCCAGGGATGGGGTCCGAGCGAACGGGGGGTCGGACGATTGCACCGCGTCGCCGAGGTGTCGCCGATACATCGGCGACGTCGGCGGGGAGAAAGTCGGGCTCCACATCAGGCCGCATCGTCGATGCATCGGCAGCGCGTCGCGATCCTCCGACCCCATTTGGGAGGCCTAGAACCCTGGGAAAACTCTCCGAGCCCCGTCTGGCCCTAAGTCGACGGATCTTGAGCATGGGAGAAACGTGTCCCTTCGAGAGCCCGGCAACGGCGAAACACCTCAGGACCCGTTTCCCTCAAGACCCGCTTGCCCCATCCGCAGGGCCCCGGCGGCCCAAGACGGGCCTCTGCGGGCGACGCCGACGGCACCGCCGCCGACGCGCCGCCCCCCCCCCTGCGCGCCACGGCTGCGGCGGCAGCAGCGACGAAGATGGCGCCCGCCCCTCGGGCTCGGCGAACACCTCGGGACCCGCGTCCTTAAGGGCCCGTTGTCCCCCACGGCGAGGCACCCCGACAGAGGCCTCCGCGGTGCCCCGGGCGGCCCAAGGCGGGCCTCTGCGGGCGACGCCGACGACGGCACCGTCGCCAGCGCGCCGCCCCCCTCGGCGCGCTCTGGCGGCGGCGGCAGCAACGACGAAGACAGACCCCCGACGTCATGATTTTTTCATTACGTCGACCCCCATAGGTCCAGACCCTTTCCCCATGACCGGCCTTGCATCCTGAGCCGTTTTTTGACGCCCCCGAGGCCTGGTGAGGGCCCCCGGAGGCCGAAAAATAAGAAAAACCTCCCGTCGTGTTTTTTTCATTACTCGAGGGGGTCTGGGAATACAGGGCCCACCCCTCGGGCTCGGGGAACACCTCGGGACCCGTGTCCTTAAGGACCCGTTGTCCCCCATGGCGAGGCACCCCGGCAGAGGCCTCCGCGGGGCCCCGGCGGCCCCCGGCGGGCCTCTGCGGGCGACGCTAAGGCTCGGGAAATGTCCTCCGGCGGGCGACGCTAAGGCTCGGGCGACGCCAAGGCTGCGGGCGACGCTAAGGCTTTTGGACAACAAGATAAATAATACCCCAACTATGCCCGAACAGAATCAGAGATAATTATGGAAACATCGTCCCCCGACTAGTCTTGGACTATCTTGGCATGCTCCTCCTGTCGAGGGACATGCCCGACTTACGGCGACGCCGACGACGGCACCGTCGCCAGCGCGCCGCCCATCTCGGCGCGCTCTGGCGGCGGCGGCAGCAACGACGAGGACGGCGCCCACCCCATCCGGACGGCGGCGCCACGACTCGCCATCGCTCGGACGTCCATTCCCGGTGCGTTTTTCGATGTCGTGCGCTGTCAATGGCCCAGGCTGCTCCTCGATGGCACTCGCCGAGGACACATGCACACGTCCGAGCGATGCCAAGACCACATCAACAGAACGCTTCGGATATCTGCGCGAATTTCCGATGATCGGCGCTGGATCCCCCTCCCTGGCGCGCGGATCGCGCCAAGTAGGGAACCGACCTTTATACACCGACGCGTTTTCCGGCCCTGCACTGAAATCTGCAAACAAGAAATCAGATCCTGGTGTATACGGACGGATCCTGGTGTATACATGTTTCGTTGCTCCCCTGTGAAACCGAAGCGACAAGTGAACACCACACCACCCCGACGTCCTCCCCATTGAAAAACAGCCCGCCGCTGGCAGTCCACTGGTAATGGATCTGCTCCAGTTTCCGAGGCGCCGCCGGGGGGGCCCAACGCAGACTCCGGAACACCGCGCGGAGCTCCGGAAATCTGTGCTTTGGCACCTCTCTTCTTAGAACATTGTCGGTACACGTCGTCGTCGTCGTCGTCGTCGTCGTCGTCGTCGTCGTCGTCGTCGTCGTCGTCGTCGTCGGCGGGCTCCGTTCACCCCCGCGGCGGTGGCGCTCACGTCGCTCACGCGCCGGGCCGCCTCCTCGACGGCGAAGAGCCGGAAGCAGTGCCCCGGGCCGCTCGCCCCGCGGCCCGCCGGCCGCTCCCCCGCAGGCCCAGGGAGGGCCCCCTCCTCGGCAGCCTGCGGGCTGCCTCTGGCCTCCGGGAGGGGCCCTTGGAGGCCTCCGGAAGGCACCTGGAGAGGCTTCCCAAAGATCCAACGCATTGACAAACATCAGAACGGACGCTTCTCGCAATTTTCGGCCTCTGGGGGCCCTCACCGGGCCCGGGGACCGTTCAAAAACGGCTCAGGATGAAAAACCGGTCCTGGGGAATGGGTCGACACTTTCGGGGACCCCGTAACCTCATGCCCGTGAGAATAAACACTAGGGGATAATAAAGTTTGGGGTTCAGGGAGAGATAATAAAAGTAGCCCAGCAGACCTCAGCATAATCTCGAAGTAAGAGATGATCAAGAGGAGACCAAGCCGAGCACGTTTTGAGACATCCTTGGCGTTTAGTTTTCATAGAAATATCATCAACAATGGCTTATCTCGCTGGAATGGAGGAAGCTATATATATATATATATATAAATAAATATCCTGGCGAAAGACCCAACCATAAGCAATTGTTGGTAACGCGTTGTGGGTGCCGCTTTCGGTGGGGCTCCATATGGGGCCACGAAGCGCTGCCTTGGATGGGGGAACCGCATGCGGACTGCGCCACCGGGGCGGGCCTTCGGTGGAGCTCCCTATGGGGCTACGAAACGCTGCCCTGGGTGGGGGAACCGAATGCGAACTGCGCCACTGGGGCCTTCGGTGGAGCTCCCTATGGTGCCACGAAACGCTGCCCTGGGTGGGGGAAGCGCATGCGAACTGCGCCACGGGGGCTTTCGGTGGAGCTCCCATGGGGCCACGAAGCGCTGCCCTGGGTGGGGGAACCGCATGCGAGAGCAGCCACTGGGGCCTCCGGTGGAGCTCCCTATGGGGCCACGAAACGCTGCCCTGGGTGGGGGAACCGCCACCCCCCCCCCACAAAATGCCAGAGCAGCCCACTGGAAGGCCTTCGGGAGTGCTCCTATGGGGCCACGAGCGCTGCCCTGGGTGGGGGAACCGCATGCGAGAGCAGCCACTGGGGCCTTCGGTGGAGCCCCCTATGGGGCCACGAAGCGCTGCCCTGGGTGGGGGAACCGCATGCGAACACCCACACTGGGGCCTTCGGTGGAGCTCCCTATGGGGCCACGAAACGCTGCCCTGGGTGGGGGAACCGCATGCGAACACCCCCACGGGGGCCTTCGGTGGAGCTCCCTATGGGGCCACGAAACGCTGCCCTGGGTGGGGGAACCGCATGCGAACACCCCCACTGGGGCCTTCGGTGGAGCTCCCTATGGGGCTACGAAGCGCTGCCCTTGGTGGGGGAACCGCATGCGAACGCCCCCACTGGGGCCTTCGGTGGAGCTCCCTATGGGGCTACGAAGCGCTGCCCTGGGTGGGGGAACCGCATGCGAACACCCCACTGGGGCCTTCGGTGGAGCTCCCTATGGGGCTACGAAACGCTGCCCTGGGTGGGGGAACCGCATGCGAACACCCCCACTGGGGCCTTCGGTGGAGCTCCCTATGGGGCCACGTAACGCTGCCCTGGGTGGGGGAACCGCATGCGAACACCCCCACTGGGGCCTTCGGTGGAGCTCCCCTATGGGCTACGAACGCTGCCCTGGGGGGGAAATAACCGTGCCTCGCGAACACCCGCCACTGGGGCTTCGGTTGGAGCTCCCTATAGGGGCCACGAAACAGCTGCCCTGGTGGGGGGGGTGGGGGGAACGCAAAAAAATTCGAACACCACACACACACCCCCACTGGGGCCTTCGGTGGAGCTCCCTATGGGGCTACGAAACGCTGCCCTGGGTGGGGAAACCGCATGCGAACACCCCCACTGGGGCCTTCGGTGGAGCTCCCTATGGGGCCACGAAACGCTGCCCTGGGTGGGGGAACCGCATGCGAACACCCCCACTGGGGCCTTCGGTGGAGCTCCCTATGGGGCCACGAAACGCTGCCCTGGGTGGGGGGACCGCATGCGAACACCCCCACTGGGGCCTTCGGTGGAGCTCCCTATGGGGCTACGAAACGCTGCCCTGGGTGGGGGAACCGCATGCGAACACCCCCACTGGGGCCTTCGGTGGAGCTCCCTATGGGGCCACGAAACGCTGCCCTGGGTGGGGAACCGCATGCGAACACCCCCACTGGGGCCTTCGGTGGAGCTCCCTATGGGGCCACGAAACGCTGCCCTGGGTGGGGGAACCGCATGCGAACACCCCCACTGGGGCCTTCGGTGAGCTCCCTATGGGGCTACGAAACGCTGCCCTGGGTGGGGGAACCGCATGCGAACACCCCCACTGGGGCCTTCGGTGGAGCTCCCTATGGGGCCACGAAACGCTGCCCTCGGGCGGGGAACCGCATGCGAACACACCCAACTGGGGCCTTCGGTGAGCTCCCTAGTCGGGGCTACCGAAAACGCTGCCCTGGGTGGGGGAACCGCAATGTCGAACACCCCACTGGGGCCCTCTCCGGGGATCTCCCTATGGAAAAGCCACGAACGCCTATACACACTGGGTGGGGGAACCGCATGCGACCCCCCCACTGGCGCCAGCGGCGGAGCTCCCTATGAGGACACGAAACGCTGCCCTGGGTGGGGGAACCGCATGCGACCCCCCCCACTGGGGCTTTCGGTGGAGCTCCCGATGGGGCTACGAAACGTGTGAGGGGTGTGCCGAGAGCAGAGGCAAGGAGGGGGAGGCGGGAGGGGGCAGCGGGAGGAACGCGGGGCACCGTCTCTTCAAACGATGACCCAACACCACGGATGGTTGGGACAAGTGATAAATAATAAAAATAAGAATGAATAGAGGAGAGAGAAAAGGACGAAGAGAAGAAAAATCTCGATTTCAAATCTATTATTTTATAACAAACGCTTTATGACATTTGTTTTTTGTAAGTGCTCGTGTAGGGTAGTTCATGTGCCTCAATTTCCATGGATAATCAACCCCAGAGATAAAAAAGTTCAGGCGAGCGTGGGGACAGAGAGAAATATAAAAGAAGAGGAATACAGTATAATAATAATAAGAAAGAAGAAGAAGAGGATAATAAGAAGAGGACGAAGAAAGGAAAAATCCAAATTCCCAAATCTATCAATTTTAATTTACAAGCGCTTTATGAAACTTGTTTTTTTTTAAGTGCTCGTGTAGGGTAGCTCATGTGCTTCATTTCCCATGGATAATCAACCCCAGGGATAAAAAGTTCAGGCGAGCGTGAGGACATATATAAATATAAAAGAAGAAGAAAAAAAAAAAAAAACCCAAAAAAAACAAGACAAAAAAACAAAAGAAAAAACAAAAAAAAAAAAAGACAAAAGAAAATATATAATAAAAAAAAAAAAAAAACAAAAAAAAAAAAAAAACAAAAAAAAACACAAAAAACAAAAAGAAAAAAAAAAAAAAAAAAAAGAAAAAAAAGAAAGGAAAAAGAGAAGAAGAGAATAAAAAGAAGAAGAGAAGAAAAACGGAAACATGGAAAGTTCCAAATCTATCAATTTTAATTTTCAAACGCTTTATGACAATTGATTTTTTTAAGTGCTCATGTAGGGTAGCTCATGTGCTCCCCTTTCCATGGATAATCAACCCCAGAGATAAAAAAGTTCAGGCGCGCGCGGGGATAGCAATATCGCTTGATGTTGCTATCTCAACATAGCGTTTCGAGGTGATAATGAAGTTCGGCCTCAGCGCTCGCCGCCCAATTTGAATTTTGTATAGGGCGACGATAATCAACTCTAAACACTGAAGGGGGGGGGTCCCTTTATTATCATCGGCATGCGGTTATTGAAAAAATCACGACGTCGGATCTCTGGGCTCCAGAAGGTAAGACGAAGCCAGGACGAGGACCAATTCGGGAGAGGATCACTCAAGAATCTCCGAGATCCGGGGGCTCTGGAGGATGGGCGCCGCGCCCTCCTCAGAGCGTTCCAGAGCGCTCTGAGAGCGCTCCGGAGCGCTCTGGAACGGGTGTATCCTCGTCCTGGCGCTCCGGAACGCTCTGCCCGAATCTGCCCGAATCTCCCCTCCCAGCACACCGCCAAAGACGAAGACAGGACGAGGATAACATCGGGTGAAGACACATCGAGAATCTCTGAGATCCGGCGGCTCTGGAGGGTGTATCAGGCGCCACGGTCTCCTCAGAGCGTTCCAGAGCGCTCTGAGAGCGTTCCGGAACGCTCTGGAACGGGTGTATCCTCGTCCTGGCGCCGTTCGAGAAGGGCTTCTGGAGGCCTCTGGAAGGCCCTCTTAGATGGCCTCAAGGGCTTCCTTCGGAGGGCTCCCGAAGGCCCTTTAGGTCTTCCGATGCCTCCACAACCTCGTCGGGACCCGCGCGGGGGCCCGAGCAAGGGGGCTTGCAGAGGCCTCTGGAGGCCTCCGCGAACATCCCAAAGGAACCCGCGGATGCCCAGGGAGCAGCCGAGAAGGCGGAGAAGCACCCGAGTCCGGCTGCCTGCTCGGACCCACAGATCCGACGTCGTGATTTTTTCAATGCGCGGTCCCCGAAGTCTCGACCCAGTCCCCAGGACCGGCTTTTCATCCCGAGTCGCTTTTTGGCGGCCCAGGGCCTCCAGAGGCCGAACATTCAAAAAAAAACCTCCCGTCGTGATCTTTCCAAGCGCGAGGGAGTCTGGGTGCGAGGCTCCCTGGCCTTCGGGGCGGACAGCGGGCCGCGGCGCTCGCCAGGAACTCCAGGCGCAGGATCTGCCCAGCGCCCAGGCACAGCGAGGGGTCGACGAAGATGCCGCCGGACCCCTCCGCGAGGAGGTCCTCGTGCGATCCGTGCCCCTCGAGGGCGCTGCCGTGCCAGCGCACCCACCTGTGAGGGGAGACGCGGAGAAGCCAGACAGTGGAGACCCATGCCAAGAAACGCCCTGCTTGCCTCCAGGGAGCCCTGGGTTTCCTGGGTTTCGAAGGCTTTGCCATGGAGCGCGTGACGCTCCAACACCAAGAATCCATGGACGTCCTGGGGTCTCAGGGTTGGGTTTCTTGTGGAAGGTTTCTTGTGGACTGGCCTCCTGTATCCCCCGCGCGTGGCGGGTCCATGTCGTGACGACTTCGGCGTTGGTCTCTCACACCGCGCGGGTCGTCCAACCTCAAATTTTGGACGCCCGAAATGGATGCGGAAAAACTGGGTACAAGTCTCAACAACAAATGTTGTCCCAAACCGACAGCGGCCGCTGTCGGGCAGGCGGCTGTCTGTCTTCAGTGAACAACGTCCGCGACGGCGCGGACAGCGTGTCCTGTTCGAAATGAATAGGATCTGCTGTTGGGCATCGTATCCATTACTTCTGTATACATGCCGATCGTCCCGACGAATGGTCACGCCGTTCCGATGGACGCGGCTCGTGCCAGTCTTGACGGCCCTGGAGCAAATACAAACAAACTCAGGAAGAGCGCAGGGAGATGGCACACCCGGTGTGCAATCTTTCTGCGATGAGAGGCACGCGCACCGAGTCCGGCTGCCTGCCCGGACCCAGAGATCTGATGTCGAGATTTTTTCAATGCGCGGCCCCCAGAAGTCTCGACCCAGTCCCCAGGACCAGCTTTTCACCCCGAGTCGCTTTTTGGCGGCCCCTGGGCCCGGCGAGGGCCTCCAGAGGCCGAACATTGAGAAAAACCTCCCGTCGTGATCTTTTTCAAGCGCGGGATGAGGAGGAGGAGGAGGAGGAGGGGGAGGAGGAGAAGGAGGAGGAGGAGGAGGAGGGGGTATTGGAGGATGAGAAGGAGAGGAGGAGGAGGAGGAGGAGGATTCTTCCAAGCGCGAGGGGGTCTGGGCGCGAGGCCTCCTGGCCTTCGGGGCGGCCAGCGAGCGTCCGCGGATGCCCAGCGAGCAGCCGCACGCTCCGGGGACGGCTGCGTCCTCGCCCTGACTATAGGGCGCCCTCCGACCGCCTCCCCGCTGCCAAAATGCCACCCCAGACCCCCTCGCGTCGTGAAAAATCACGTCGCCCACGTCCCCACGTCGCCCCCGAGGTTCCGCTCCCAGACCCCCTCGCGCTGCGAAAAACATCACGACAAGGGGGAGGGGGAGTCCGCCATTCTCGGCTTCCCGGGGCCCTCACCGGGCCCCCCGGGGGGCCGTCCAGCAACGGCCCGGGACGAGAGAAACGGGTCCCGCAGAGAAGGTGTCCAGGCTTCGGGGGCCGACGCCGTGAAAAGACCATGGCACCAGGGGTCTGGGCCGTGCAGACGCGACTGGGCAGGGTCCACGCGGTGTTCTTGCATCTGGGTTGGGCCCCCCCCCCAAACCCCCTCGCGTCATGAAAAAATCACGACGGGAGGTTTCCCCCCTTTTTCGGCCTCTGGGGGCCCCTACCGGGCCTCGGGAGCGTCAGAGAACGACTCAGGATGCAAAGCCGGTCATGGGGAAAGTGTCGGGACCTCTGGGGGTCGACGTAATGAAAAAATCATGACGTCGGGGGTCTGGGACCAGTGCCGCTACTCTTGGGTCGGGCATGTCCTCCCACAGGGAGATTTTGGATTACAACTAAAACATCGTCAAAAGACAAATCCCGAATGGTCAAAACTAGTACAACAACAAATCGTCCCCAGACTTACACAAATCAAGCAACTAGTTTCGAATGTTCCTCCTGTCGAGCGGCGTGTCCGACTTAACGCTGCTCCCCAGACCTCTCCCGGGGCGCGCTCCGGCCAGGACTTCGAGGAGAATCCAGCGGCGGCAACGCGGGCCTCCCAGGAGGCCCACCAGTGGGAAAACTGGGCAAGGGGAGGGAGCGGCGTGGGTACCTTCCCCTGAGATCCGACGTTGCAAAACCATGGCAGCATGCAAGGAAATCGTCACCGCAGCCCCGGGCCCCATCTTCCTGTGTAATTTTTCCAGCTGGACCGAGATCTGTGAAGGGGAACTGGGACACACAAATAAATAGACACAAATAATCAGAGTCCCCATATTGTGTGATATTTTCGTTTTTTTTTTGTCGTCCCCCCCCCACTTCCCATATTTTCTCATATTTTGTTGGGGAATCGACGATTCACTGTGCCTGCGTGTTTTTTTTTTGTTTTTTGTTTTTTCCTCTGAGGGCCCGGGGGCCCGAGATGGAGCGACAACGCCCGGCGTGACACAAATCGCAGCGCCAGGACCTCAGGGTTAAGTCGGGCGTGTCCCCCTACAGGGGGAGTTTCGACGAACAACGAAACATACTTAACAGATGCTCCCAAATGGCCAAACATACTAAAAAAATAGTCCCCAGACTCTTTTTCGACTGTTCTTGAATATTCCCCATGTAGAGGGACAGGCCCGACTGGTGGCAAGCAGCGTGCTTCTTGGCATGAATCTCCACTCCAGCCAATGTTGGCGATCCGCGAGGGCCAGAATATAGACGAGCGCGTTCCACCACTCGCAAAGTGACTACTCGCAAATGGCCTGGATCCCTCGCGGAGGAGGAGGAGGAGGAGGGAGTGAGGTCGGGGGAGGGCGGAGGAGGAGGAGGAGGAGGATCTACGATCAATTACATCCAAACTCAGGGCTTTCCTCCCCCGCCCACTGGCTCTCCTCCAGCGCCACGGCCGGCCGCGCCGCCCCGCTCGCGCCCGCGGCGCGCGCGCCCCCCGCGCCGGACGCGGCCGGGCCAGGCCGCGCGGCGGGCGCCGCGCCGCGCCGGCATCGGCGCGCGCCCCGGGCGGCGCGCGCGGCGCCCGCGGCCGCCTCTCGGGCCGCGCGCCGTGGGCGCGTCGGCTGGCCGCCGAGGCTCGGCGGCCGCGGCGCGCGCGCCGCGCGCGAGGCGCGCGCGAGCCTCGCTCCTCGCGTCGCGCGCGGCGCGCGCCGCGTCGCGCCGCATCGCGCCGCCCAGGCGCGGCGGCGCGAGCGGCCAGCGGAGCGCCGCGTGCGCCGGCGGGCGGCGCGGCCACCGGGGCCGCGCGGCGCGCGGGCGCCGCGGGCGGCGCGCAAGGCCAGAGGGCGGCTGCGGCTGCGGGAGCAGGGCTGACCCAAAGAGTCCGCGGGCAGTGCTGACCCTTGCAAAGCGCGGCCCCCGGGGAGGTCCCGACCCCTTCCCTGGGGCTGGCTTTTCGCCCCGGCCCCATTTTTCGCCCCGGGGCTGTTTTTGTTGTTCGCCGTAATTGCCCAGACAATCGTTGGACGCGCCCGTGTCTGACCCTTGGCCAGCGCTATTCCAGCATAACTTGATACGCCTCGCGCTACACTGGGAGAAAAACACACACACACCAACACACACACACACCAACACAGACACACAGACACACAGACACACAGACACACAGAGACACAGAGACAGAGAGACAGAGAGACAGAGAGACAGAGAGACACAGAGACACAGAGACACAGAGACACACACACACATATATATGTTTATATATATATATATATATATATGACTTTTTCAATTCGCGGCCCCAGAAGTCCCGACCCGTCTTCCCTGGGTTTGGCTTTTCGCCCCGGGCCAATTATTGATGGCCCCCGGGCCCAGTAACGGACCCGTTTCTGGAGGCCGAACTCCAAGAAAAACCGCCGGATGGAACAAATCATCTCCTCGGATCTCTGGGTAGGGGGGGGGGCCGGGTACGACATCCACAGAACCTTTCGGAGATCTGCACCAGCGTTTGGGATCGGCGTGTCGGGAGGAATGTCCTCCTACAGGTGGATTTTGGACGAAAAATAAAGCATACCCCAAATAAATTCAAAAATAATCAAAAGTATGGAAAAGAAAATGGTTCCCAGCCTAATTTCCTATCTAGGCTCTGCCTAGAAGGGTTCTTACTCTCTGGGCTTAAAGGGGCCGGGCAGTGGAAAGCGCCTCGGGCGGTTCCCCCAGTATCCGCCCCGCGGTTCCCCCAGCTACGTTCCCTTAGCTTGGCGTTGCTTCTCTCATCTTAACTTAGCTTATTTCATCTTAGCTAAACTTAGTTGAATCTTAGCTGCGCCTAGCTGTAGCTTAGCTTAGCGTAGCATATCACAGCATAGCATAGCATAGCATCGCATAGCGCAGCATAGCATAGCAAAGCAAACCATAGCGCAGCATAGCACAGCATAGCATAGCGCAGCATAGCATAGCATACCATAACCTAGCACAACACAGCGCAGCCTAGCGTAGCATAGCATAGTGCAGCATAACATAACATATCATAGTGCAAGATAGCATAGCATAGCATAGCATGGCAACAAATCAAAGGCAACACAACAGCAGCAACAGCAAAGCAAAACACACCCGGTGAGCGAATGCGCAAACACCCGGTGAGCGAATGCGAGAACATGCGTGTGTGTGTCTGTGCGCAGGCAAAGCAAAAACAAAATCAAGCATCAGCAACAACAAAAGCAAAGCAACAGCAACAGCAACAGCAAAAGCACAAGCAAAGGCAAAAGCAAAGGCAAGAGCAAAAGCAAAGGCAATGCAAAAGCAACACCAATGCGAAATTGTAGATGTAGATGTAGATGTAGATGTAGGTGTAGATGTAGGTGTAGGTGTATATGTAGATGTAGGTGTAGATGTAGGTGTAGGTGTAGATGTGAGTCTCGCTGTTGATGTTGATGTAGATGTAGATGCAGGTGTAGATTTAAATGTAGCTGTCGGTGTGGATGTAGATGCTGTTTTCCTAAATGCTCCAACTCCTAGGTCGGGTCGCACAGTTTTTTCGGATATATATATATATATATATATATATATATATATACATATAAAACAAAAGTCATTTTATATTAATTCCTCCTGTAGAGGGACATGCCCGACTAACATAAGGCGACTCCGACGACAGCGTCGTCGCCAGCCCGCCGCCCCCCTCGGCGAGCTGCGGCGGCGGCGGCGGCAGCAACGGCGAGGACAGCGCCCGCCCCCTCTGGGA